TTCTCGTTGCTCCCATCGTCCTGTCGAGCCATCAAGCAGAGACCTGTGAAATCATGTGAAGCCATGAAGTGATAAGAGTCAAATTTTGTTGAGACCACCTGTCCAACCTTGAGAACACGCCAACTCTTGTAAAACTATGAACGCGATTACTTGTGGAAGTGACGAAGTAGCGGAATTGCAAAAGTGTCCCTCCCAATCCGAACAGCCAGAATTTCACCATTAGGTTAGCACCAGTTTGCACTGGGAACGGGGTTCCAGCGAATCCAACAGCGCGAGTGCAATAACTGTCCCGCTGAATTTGTTGAGCATTTTGTAGGGAGGCAAATTCTATTTTTACTCCGTCGGATCTGCGCTCACCAGCCAGTCCATAGCAACCCTTTCTAGCTGTGGGGAAGCTCTGTTGTAGTGCCTTGGCTCGATTGTGAACAGCCCAGGACTATACAAATGCAGGAAATTAGCAGTCACTACAACTGAGGTGTTCGCCTTCCGCCACTCCCTTTCCATCGTACAGCCTTGTTCGCTGCTCCCTGAAGCGTATTAGGGGGCTGGGATTGGCCGGACCCCCGTCCGTTTCCCACCAATTGCCCGTCAGCTTCTACAATTGGTGCAATACAATCTACATCCGTCTAACACGCCCCGTTATTCGCGGCGAGTAAGACTGTAAAATGTTGTATAGTTGAAGCTTCCAATCAGCTCAATTTTTCACTTGCTAAGAAAAGAAAAAGAAAGTGAAATAAATAGGAAGGGAGAAAGAAAAGTTACTGTTTAGGAAACGCCTCACGTTTGACGAACTCGAAGAAGACGAACTTCCAACACCAAAAGCCGATTCCACTATCATTGAGTACGCGCTTGAAAACTTCTTATTTATAAGTTTCACTTATTTTTTGCCAAAAGACTTTCTCAATGGCATTTTGTGTGGAGCTGGGCTTGTGAGTGGAATACAAATATAATATGTGAATGTGAATATATGAATGTGAGTAGAATTCACTGGTGCGCGCCTGTGTTCTGAGGAGGGACGTGCGAGCAAGGCTGGTAGAATGATCTGGCTCCGCCCATAGGGCCAACGTGTAATGCGCTCTTTTAGTAAAGCATATTTCAATTGTCGCACTGTAATGAGCGACTCTCAAACATATTTCGATTTTTAATTCAAATAGACCTT